TTTTGGGGGTCGTTGGGGTGTTCGCCTTGCGGCGTCACCAACGTCGATGTTTCAATTCCGCGTCCTGCCAGGTAGATGGGGTTCGCCGTGCGTGCGTGGAGAGTTTTCGAGTGCGTAGAAGGACAAGACCATCGCGAATTTTTGAAACTGTTTTTTGGGGGGATCGTTGGGGTGTTCGCCTTGTGCAGACGCTATCGGACGGTCGCACGAACCGATTTCCACAAAAATTCAACGTTTGCGTGTCCGTGTAGACGTCTCGGTGTTTTGGGGGTTCCGGGCTGTCGAACAGTGCTGGACTTACTTTCGGTTTTCCCGGGCAACGCAACAAAACAGCAGTAAAGGTAGCTGCGTCCGGCGACCCAGATCCTCCAAACCAAAAGGACGTTGGCATCAATCTTTGCGTTGCGCTTTTTTTCTGAAATTCGTTCTGGGCGCGTCGCGAAAACGCGCCCCGAAGTAAGTCCAAATATGCGGCCTTACTACAGCAGCAAGCACAAATAGAAGGCGCCACCGTTCAGAAAAAGTGCCCGAATCAGTACAACGTCGATACATATGTCGGCTCTGCCTCTTCTCTGCCTTTTCAACCCGCCGCATCTTGCGGCGACGCAACGGGCCGTCGTCGTCGCCTTCTCTGCTTCTTCTTTTTTTGAAATTGTTGTCGGGGGTGCGTTGGGTGGCCGCCTTGCGGATACGCTACCGGACGGTCGCGAGTAGGTCGTTGGCTTAGAAGGACAGCGGCATCGCGACATGTTTTTGGATTGTGTTTTGCGTTCGATGGAGCGTTCGCTCTGCGCGCGCGTGTTCTGTGGGTCGGACGTTGGCCGGTGGGGAGGAAAGCCCGGGAGTGGGTGGAAATTCGTCGGGAGTTTTCGAGTGCGTAGGAGGACAAGACAATCGCGGATTTGTTTTTGCTATTTTTTTGGGGGGGGGCCGGGCCGCGCGTTGAGCTTCAGTCGCGCATTGCCCGTTCACCTCCTGACCGCCTGCCCGCTTTGGTTTGTGTTGTTTTCCATGCCAAACGCATTTCTAGACAAAGGCGCGCGCTTTGATATTCATGCGAACGTCATATTGATTTGACACGACATTGCTGCGAGGGAGCAGCGGGGAGACCCCCGAGATTTTCACTGCAGAATCTCGGGGGTCTCCCGCTTTTTTGCGGTTTCCTATAGCGACGTGAAGAAACGACGGACATCCATAACGCACGGCTGCTCCAACCCATCGGACGTCATCGAAGTTTTCGGGCCCGTGCGAATTTTGACACAAAGACCCCCCCCCAAAAAAAAAAAAAAAACACCCCAAAGCACCTTCCAACCTTCACTTGGAGCCTCCACTTGACACCTCCGCCTCCCGTCCCCGTCCTTAACTATTGTCTCTCCCCCCTCCTGCGCCCTCCCGTTCGCTCCTGCATCCTCCTGCCTCCTCTCTTCTTTTCCTCCCTGTGCTCAGTATTCTCTTTTCCTCCTCCTGATCCTGTGCCCCCCTGATCCTGCGCCCCCCTTCTCTGACTCACAACTGCGCGTCTTGCGGCGCATCTCTGTCTTTGCTCATCTGGCCTTGGCCTCGTTTTGGAGTCAAGCACCACCGCGCTCGGAACGACGGCGGTGACAACGAGGACGTCGACGAGGACGTCGACATTTTGTGATGCCACCCCAGATGACGACGAGGACGACGAAGCGTCCGTAGTCTTGATGGCCCGAGCGGGCGCCAGCGCGGACTCCGGCGCGCGCCCGGCGGCCCCCTCGACGGACGACCCCCGCTCGTGGGCGGGACTCCCTATGCGGGACGACCGTCTCGAGTCGGGGGGACTCTGGCATTCGTGGGCTCGCCGCCCGCCGCGCGCTGGCCGGGCGCCGCGCAGATGCCCCCGAAGGGGAGCGGAGCCGAATACAGGGTCAGAATTATCCAGCAATCGCGAGCAGCCGGCTCGAAGTTCCAGGTCCGACTGATATCGAGAAAGGGGTCGTACTTGCATGGGCCCCCGCGGGACACAGGGGACGCGGCCATGGCTGACCGGAGGCGGATCGAGCGCGCCCCAGATCGGCGCGCGGAGCTCGATCGCTTGAAACAGGAGCTCGCGCAGGTCTCGGGGGATGGCCGCAGACGCCGCAGCGCCTTCGAGAGGGCCCAGTTTGGCGCAGGATGACGGGGAAGCGGGCGGCGTCGCCGCTCTTGCCCCCGACGCTGGGCGCCCCCGTGAAGGTGGCTCTACAGACGCCAGGCCCCCCTGCCGCGGGCGCGCGCGGCCAAAGGACCCCCCCGTCGGTGCGCAGCCAGGGGCCGACTCCCCGGACAGCGGGGGGCCGACAGGATCGAGCTGCCATGGCGTTCCGCGAGGTCTTGGCTTGGCACGAGCAGCACCGCCGCATGCCGTTGCGCACCCATGACGGGATTGGGTTTGAAGACGAGCTCGCGCAGAAGTGGCGCAGGTGGAGAATTTCCGCGCGGCTGACGCCGGCTGCGCGGGGCCTGAAGATGCGCATCGAAGCGCTGGCGGCGCAGTCGGAGGCAGCGAAGCAGGATGACCATCGCGCTGCGCGCGCAGAGCAGGCGCTTCTGACGCTGCACCAGCATTGGTGCGAGGGGAACGACGTCCACGACGAGGACCGTTGGAGGCAGCCTGCCCTGCATCGGTCTCGCGGCGGCCAGCACCCGTACCCGGGCCTCTCTAACCTATGCAACACCTGCTACCTCAACGCGCCCCTGCAGCGCCTCCCCCACTGCCCCGCCGCGCGCGCCGCGCTCCTGGGGGCGGAGGGCGAGGGCGAGCCGTTGGTCGCGCAGGACGCGGGGTGGGGGAAATCTCGTCGATAGCTTAGTTCCGGCACGGCCCCTTGTTGACTTTGGCGTTCTTCCCTCCGCACGGGGGGGGAGGCGATTGGCGCGTGGAAAGGAGGGGGCGGGGGGCGGGGGGCAGTCGGCTTGGGTGTCAGGCCCCCTCTCGAGGAGCTGCGCGCCCTGGCGACCGCCTGCGCGCGCGGGGCGCCGCCGCCCGCGGAGGACGTCGGCGGCGCCGCGCCAGCGCCAGTCCGCGTGGACCGCTGGTCCCCGCACGCCTTCGTGGACGCGTTCCTCGCAAAGCACTTCCTCTTCAAGCTGGGGAGGTACGAGGACGCGCGCGAGGCGCTGTCGTTCATCCTGGAAGACGCGCCTGGTCTCGCCAGCCTCTTCCAGACCGGATACGACGACGAGGAAGTCACGATGAGGCTCCCAGCCTTCGTGGACGGGGCAGACGACGGCGACGACGCCCTGTCGCCGCAGGACTTCTTCCTCGCTGGGGGCGCGCAGAGATTGGATATGCGAGAGCTGCTCCGCCGAGGCGCCTCCATGGGCGGGCGACTGCGATCGAAGCCCGAGTTGCTGGCGGTCCACGTGCCACAGAGGTGGGAGCGAGGCGACAGCACGGCGCTCTACCTCGGCGGCTGCGACATCGCGCCCTACTGGGGCGAGCTCCCGGAGGTGGCTCTGAGGGCGGGGGAGGAAGACGTCGCATACCGCCTGCGCGCCTACGTGCAGTACATCCAGCCCGAGGGATCGGAAGCCGTCCCATCCCACGTCCTGAATGACCCCCACGGCCATTTCGTGGCCCACTTCGAGGAGGACGGGAGCTGGCACACTGCAGACGACCTGGGTGATCGGCCGCACGTGGTCCAGTGGGCGCCTGGCACCCAGCACAAGATACCTTGCATGATCTTCCTTGAGAAGGTGGACTCCAGGGCGGCCCGCGCCGAGGCGTGCCCGTGGCCGCCCGGGCCGGTCGTCGACGGCGCGGGGGGCGCGGGCGGCGACGGCGACGTCGACGCGGGCGGCGAGGACAGTCCTGGCCTCGACGGAGAGCGCGGAGACGAGCAGGGCGGCGCCAGCGATGCTGGCGCGCTGGGCGCGCGGAAGCGGCCCGCGGCGTCAGCGAGGATCGACGCGCCCCCGAAGAAGCGGCCCCGCCTCCGCGGGAAGCAGAGCCGCGACGGGAGGCAGCAGCGGCAGAGCCGCGCTGGGAGGCAGCAGCAGCAGAGCCGCGCTGGGAGGCAGCAGCAGCAGAGCCGCGCTGGGAGGCAGCAGCAGCAGAGCCGCGCTGGGAGGCAGCAGGAGAGGCAGCAGGAGAGGCAGGATCAAAAGCGCGGTTGCAAGCCCGAGGAGGTGCTCCGGCAGGGGCGGAAGCCGAAGAGCAAGGGCGACAACGCCGACGGGTCTAGGCAGGACGCCCAGAACAACGCCGCCGCCCCTGTCCTGCGCAGCAGCAGGGAGGCGAAGAGTTTGCAGGCGGCCTGCGACGCGCGCCGGGAGTGCGGCGACCTCTTCCTGCTCTTGCACTTGCTGGAGCCGCTGGCCGCTGCCGATGACCTGCTCAAGCAATACCCGGACTTCTTCGTCTACGCCGGCGACGACTGCGCCAGACGATGGGCGACGTTCCTGCGCGCCCCCGATCGGCCTGACAGGTTGGCTGGCAGGCTGCGGGAGGCGCTCGGGGTGACGGAGGATGAGATTTCCGACGCCAAGCGCCGACTGGAGAGCGGGGAGTGGCACATGCACCACGTCGCGGAGCTTCTGGACGAGCGTCTGAACTCCGCCCACAGCGCCCACTCCGCGGCGGCCGCGGTCCGCTTGGCGGTGGGCGACGGGCCGGGCGCGCAGGACGACGGCAACCCGCTGAGGGCGCACCTGGCCGATGCGTGGCAGCGCAGGCCCTGCAACCGCGGCCCGCCCCGGCACTCGGCCATGCCTGCGCGCCTTCGGGATCGCTCTGAGTGGTTCCAGTGCCCCGCGCCTGCTCTGCATTATGCCTGCCGCATGTGCGAGGCCGAGTTCCCCAACAGGGAGGCGTTCAAGGCGCACCAGGGCAGAGTGCACGGGGGGCAGCGGTGGTACCAGTCGCAGTATGTGGCGCGGTGCGAGCTGGAGCCCTACCAGCCGTCGCCGACCGAGGAGCGCCAGGTGAGCGGGCGGCGGGGAACTGCGCCCAGCCCCCGGTGACGTGCCCTTAGCGCTGGCGCTCCCGGCGCCAGCGATAAGGGCATCGACAGCGCTGGGGGTCGGGCGGTGCTCCCCGCCATCGCTGCAGGTGGTTGCCAGGTTCCACATTTCCCAATGCTGCGCCACCGTCGACCCCGTGGACGAGCCGTTCGTCCCGAAGCCCGAACCGGAGGTGCAGATGCAGCTGCTCCACGCGGAGATCATCGGCAGGATCATCGGCAAGATCGGGCAGGGGGGGCCCGCGGAGGAGATCTCCCTGCAGGCGGCCGGCGCGGCGGAGGCGGCAGCCCGCGCTCAGGCGGCGTGTCAGGCGAGGGAGCCCCGCGCTTTCCAAGCCTGCGTCTGCTGCGCCATGCAGCAGTGGTCCGAGAACCTCCACTCGGAGTTCCTCGTCGGCGACAAGTGCACCATAAAGGACCGGGCCCAGTTCGCGGACTGCCTGTCGGCCGAGTGGTACCACCAACGATGGCCCCTCATACCGCGCGACGAGCTGATGTCGTCGGCCGTGGACTTTCCCCACGACGACTGCGAGGGCTCGCCGACGTCCACGAAGATACTCCTGCACAGGAGGCGCGTGCCGCCTGAGGCGCTCGAAGGGAAGGTGCCAGTGAAAGTGCGCGACGATTGCCGGAGAGACCTGTGGTCTGATCACCCCAAGGTGCCGCTGATGGCGCTGGTGAACGACCTCTGGCTGGGCCGCCACCACCCCTTGCTCAGGAAGGCCGCTCTCGCGCACCAGATGCTGCTCGCGCTCGGCCGCGTCGCGTCCACGAAGATCTACCTGTCCAGCAAGGGCGCCGACAAGGCCGTCCGGCAGGAGCAGCAGTCGCGGAGGCAGAAGTTCTTGCAGCACGCCATGCAGGGCACCGCCATCGTGTTCGGGAACGGGAACGCGGACCACGCGACGCGGAGCTTCCCGCCGGAGCCCGACATGCTCAGGGACACGTTCGTGGCCGTCTTCGCGGGCGCCGACGACGACGAGGAGGGCATCCCCCTGACCGAGGAGCAGAAGCAGGAGAGGGCCCTGAGAGCCATGAGGGAGGAGGTGGCGCTGCACGTCGACAAGGCGGAGTACGACGCCCAGGCGCGGTTGTTGAAGCAGCACAACTACGTGTACAATGATCCGGGCGTGCAGTACCGATCGGACCTCGTGGACCAGTTCCCCCCGCAGCCTGGCGTGCCCGACTTCATGCTGGCCTGCGCGAAGTATGTCCCCACGGACGCGGCGTTGGACGACGTCGCGCAGGCGCAGGGGCCCGCGTCGGCCACCACTGGTGCGCAAGCAGAGATGAGCGCGGCCGCCGAGGACGCGCAGGAGCTGACCAAGTGGCTGTCCGTCCTTGAGGACCACATGGACGACGTCAGCGAGCTCACGTCCCTGCCGGCGCTCCAGGGCATGCTCGAGAGGATGGAGAGTCAGGCGGGGCGCGTGGTGGCCAACGAGCTGATGTCCAGGCTCGAGGACCAGGGAGGTGAGGATAGGGCGCTGCAGCTGGACGAGATCGGGCGTCACCGCCTGCGAGACCTCTGCCAGGAATTCCACGCGCGCTGTCGGAAGATCTCCCCAGGGGAGGACATGGCGAAGCTGCACTGGCGTGTCCAGGCGCTGGAGACCAACAACTGCCAGGCGGAGGATGGCGTGGGCGACCCGGCGCGACCTGCAGGAGTCGCGGGGACTCCCGCCGAGGACGACCCGCGCTCCTTGCAGGGACCGCCCGGCCCCGACGGCCAGCGAAAGGCGAGGCTTCGGGTGCCCACTTCGAGGAAGGCGGAGAGCTGGTGGAATCCGAAGTACTGGTCGACTGCCAGACCCACGAACTTCTGCTACGGGGACTGCGCCTGGGGCCTCGGCCAGCTCCCCCCGGACGGAGATGAGGACCCGCAGAAGCAGAAGGAGGGTCGGCTCTGCTTCAGCGTGGCGCACTTCATCAATAATCTTCTCACGCGGGAGGAGATGGAGTACGACGTGCCTGCCGACGAGGAGAAATACGTGGCCAGGCCCATCAGTCGTTTCCGGAGCTCCTGGTACGACGTGCACCTGCTATGTTCCTTCTGGAGAGTCACGGAGACGACCAACAGCACCTACACCTTCATGAAGACGCCCGGGGCGTTTGGGGCCGCTCGCGCCTGCGCGGACATCACGCCGGAGACGATCGAGGAGGTGCAGCTCAGGGCGCAGCAGACGGGCGGGAAGGCCACGCTGCGCGGCATCCTCAAGGACAAGGACACCCCGAACGAGGTGCGGAAGGCCTTCGCCACCCTGGGCCAGGCCACTGCCAGTCAAGTCGGGCCCCACGGACACAGGCGGGAGCTCCGCGGAGAGGGCGAGGCGTATACCCTGCGCTTCGGCCCGCCCGCCCAGTTCGTCACCCCGAATCTGGCAGACACCAAGCAGCCCCTGATCCTCATCATGCAGGGGGAGGAGTACACCTTCGGCAACGACCTGACCGATGCGGAGCAAGTCACGTTCAGCGAGATGTCGCAGCGCATCGCCGCGGACCCCGTGGGCCAGGCCGTGGTGTTCGAGCTGATGATGAGGCTGTTCTTCGTCCACGTCCTCGGCCTGCGCCCGGAGGCCGTCGGGTGGCGGCGAGGAGAAGTTCGAAAGGCTTCGGAACACTGGATCTCCGACGGCGTGGCGGCCGACCTCATGGGCGTGCCCACGGTGTTCGGCCCCCTGGCGGCGGCCTTCGGTCCGGTCGAGGCTCAGGGCCGCGGCTCGCTGCACCCGCACATCCTCATCTGGCTGTTGCAGGGTCAGCTGCGCGTGCTCTTGGACATGCTGCAGCGCGACGAGGCGCGCTTCCAGGAGCGCTTGAACCTGTGGATGCGGCAGGTGGTGCAGGCCGTGGTCGCCACCCAGCAGAGCGCCGTGGAGCTGCTGCCCTTGCTGCTGCAGGGGGGAGAGAACAAGTGCGGGGTCGCGGTGCCGCCGCTGCCGTTCGGGCCCAACGAGAAGCGGTACTTCAGAGCCGACGGGGGCGCGGAGATGGTGACTGCAGAGCAGCTCGGGGTCGAAGGCGAGACGGAGCCGCAGGAGCTGTGGTTATACGAGCCCAAGGTAGACCACTACCACAGGGCGATTCGCCCCGATCTGCCGCTGCGCAACAACGACGGCGAGGCCGTGGACGGCGATGCGGCGTGGACAGAGCAGAGGGCCGCGGAGAACAAGGGGCACTGGCGGCGGCCGCTCTCCAGCAGCGCCTCCGGCATCTTCCCGAGGTACCGCGGCGGGGGCACCATGGCGGAGTCTCTCCCAAGCGACGAGTGGATTCGCGAGATGTGCCGCGACGCGCGCGAGCTTGTCATCGGCTGCGGCATCCACGTCTGCAGCCCCTCCTGCTACAAGTACCATTCCGACAAGACGCGCGGCGCGCAGATCTGCCGCCACAACTTCTACAACTTGGTGACACTGTGCACGTGGCCCAAGGGGGGGGACTCCCAAGAGTGCCGGCTCCGCACACGCGGGAAGGCTCTGCGCGGCTGCATCGGCATCTTCCGCGGGACGGACTACGGCATGGCGGGGCGCATCGTCACCTTCCAGCTCCACCCCGGGGAGACCTCGACGAAGTACGCGGCGGTCGTCTCGGCGCGGTGCAACGTGGACGTGCAGGACATGATGACGGGTGCTGCCCCCGCGCCTGTGGATGGACGCGTCCGAGCTGGAACCGCCGGCGAACGAGGAGGACCGCGAGAGCTACAAACATGGCCTCTACCCTCAGCGCTACGCCGACTTCTCGGTGGGTGCTCGGGAGGACTGGGGATGGTTCCAGCACCTGAACACCACGTCCGCGGAGAAGTGGGACCTCGTCGTAGTCACCGACTGGCACGAGATCTTCAGGGAGCTCGCGAACCGCGACAGCCCCGCCGTGGACGGTGGCGACGCTGCGCGCGCCGACCTCCAACGCGACCTGGAGCGGCACGCGCTGGCCACCTTCGTGGACGCCCACAACACGAGCTACTACGTCAGTTCGTGCACCACGAAGGTGAACCCCAGCATGGACGACGTGCTCTGCAAGCTCCTCGACGGCGTGCGCCGCCTGAAGAGCCAGTGGGACGACAGGGAGGCGCAGGCCGCGGGCGGCGCTGGCGACGAAGCCTAGTCGACCGCCGCAGGAAAGCGCAAGGAGGATTTCAAGCGCACGCTGGAGGTGCTGGCCCGCTTCGAGACCTGCTTCCGCAGAGCCTCCTGGAAGAGCGGCAGCGAGATGGTCTTCCCCATGCTCTTCGGGCACCTCTCCTTCATGACGCACCGTTGCTGGAAGGTGTTCATGCGGAAATCCATCTACCTCGCCGCGGAGTCCTGGCGCAGGCGATACGGCCAGGCCGACACCGCGGAAAGCGCACCCGCCGCCTCGATCACGCACGCGGTCCCCGGCACTGGACAGCAGGTCGCGATGCCGGGGTGGCGCGAGGTGCCGCGCGAGGGCGAGACGGTGTACTTCAGCCCCGACGGCGAGGAGTTCGACACGATCGAGTACGCGCACCAGGCGTTCCAGATCGCGAACGCCAGCGGCGGCTCGATGCGCGATGTGACGAAGGCGTTGAACAAGATGCGGGAAGGCGAGGCCGAAGAGGTGCCTGAGGCTCTGGGGCCGACTTTCGAGGGCCTCGCGCAGGGCAAGTTCAGGGGCGCAGCGTTGAGCCAGCACGACGACTGGATGCACCGCGGAGACCACCCTATTGTCCGAGACATGAGCTTGTACGTCTACAGCATCTGGGTGTACCGCGTGGAACTGCCGCTGCATGCCCTTCCGGCCGGGGAGCTGGATCCCGAGGGCAGCGGGGGTCGCACCCTGCACGTCGACATCGCCTTCGACTCGTCCTACTCGGCGGCGCGCAACTAGACGCAGAGGCTGGCCGTCGAGCCGCCCATCCCGAAGGCCGACGGCTTCCAGTTCGTGAGCGCGAAGTCGAACGTGGAGACACACTACCTCATGAAGTCGGTGCTGCTCTGGCCAGTGCACCTGCCAGACGCCGACGGGCCCAACGACACGAAGGAGCTGCGCCACCTCCGCGCGTACGAGCACCTGTGCGCGGCGCCGGAAGGCGAGCCGGAGTGGCCGGCGCAGCCGGCGGGGGAGGGCGTCGCGGGCCCGTTCCAGCGCGGCTGGGAGTCGTTCGCCACCGCCCAGGAGCAACTGGCGAAGACGGCCCGGGCGAAGTGCCTTAGGAATGACGTCGGGTCGTGGGCGACGCCCAGCATCTGGAACACGGAGGACGTCGAGTCCGCGCTGCGCGAGAAGCGCCGCGACCGCCGCGAGGACGTGCAGCCTCCTTGCCGGTGCGCCCAGTGCACGGAGCTGGGCAACTGGCTGGACAGCATGCTGACGGTGCAGGAGTACCTGGCCCTGGAGACCACGAAGACCGCGGCCAACTTCGACGGCATCTACAAGGCGAAGGCTTCGAAGCCGAAGAGGCCGCAGAAGGACGACGCGCAGGTCGCGGAGGCCCCCGTGTTCCGGGAGGGCGCCGAGGACTCGGGGGCGGGCGCCGCGCAGGTGGAGGCCCAGGGCATCCGCGCGCAGGACGGCTTCGCGAAGCTGGGCGCCAACGTTGTCCTGGAGCATCACTTCGACCCCGAGACGCTCGGGCAGATCTTGCGCTTCGACACCGCCGAGCGCACGCAGGCCTTCGTGAAGGAGCTCAAGAAGGCCGCCACGATGATGGAGAACGGCGCACTGCCCGGGCCGACTGACGCCGACGCGCCGCGGCGCGCAGCCCGCGCCCTGAGGGAGAACGTCCTCACTCCGTTCAGGGCCCTGCGCGACCTCGACGCAGACGAGCTGAAGGACCTGGTGGAGACCCAGCGGAAGCGGTTCGCCAAGGGGGGCACGAAGGACGCGGACGTGCCCATGGACGACATCCCCGCGCGGGACGACGTCGGGGCAGCGGGCGCTGGCGCGGTGCCGGCCGAGGCGGCGCAGGCGCGGTGGGAGCCGTCGGAGGAGACGCAGCGGCCCAGCGACCTCGTCAAGCGCCTCGTCAAGAAGTTCGAGGACGGCGTGGTCAACCTGAGCACCGGGCAGAAGGAGCGCCGCCCTCTGAAGCCCGACCAGGCCCTGTTCGTCACGGCGTTCGCAAACGCTTGCAACGTGGTGTGGGGCGCGGAGCAGAATATCGAGGATGGCAGCATGGCCAAGCACGCGAAGCGGAAGACGTTCCAGTTCCTGCTCCTGGGCCAGGGCGGCAGCGGGAAGACCGCCACGGTGCAGGAGATCGTGCTGCCGGCCATGGACGCGCTGTTCCCTGTGGAACCGGGCAAGGCGAAGTCCACGCTAATAGTCTGCGCGAAGTGGTCTCAGGCCGCGAACATCTCCACGGACGCTCACAAGGCCGTCAGTTGCCACCGGGCGGGACTGATTGGAGCGCAGTCCTTCGGAAACAAGGACATGCCCGCGGGGGGCAGGCTGAAAGCGCTACAGGACACGTGGGAGACGGTCAAGTGCTTGATCCTGGAGGAGGTGAGCATGATCTCGCCCAACCTGTACAACATGCTGGCGTTCCGGTCCTACCTGGGACGCAAGGCCGAGTGGGGCGCGGAGGAGCGGGAGCACGACCAGGTCGGCGGAGCCTTCGGCCGGATGCCCATCGTGATCCACCTGGGAGACTTCCTGCAGCTGAAGCCGACGGGAGGCAAGGTTTTGCTCATCTCCAGCTTCGCGGAACTGGCGGCGGCGGGCATCAACCTCGCTCCAGAGTACCAGGCCGTGATGAAGATGTTCTGCAACACGCCGCTGTGCTTCGAGCTCCAGGCGTTCAACCGCTTCAAGGACACGAAGCTCCGGGATCTCATGGGGTTCCTGCGCAAACCGGGGAAGCAGGTCCCTGCGGCCATCCGGGCCACGTGGAACGCAATGCAGCTGAAACCCGATGATCGCCGGCTCCGGGAGGAGAGGTTCCAGAACGGCCACATGATCGGGTCCTACTGGGACACCGTGGCGCGGTGGATGAACATGCGTGCCCAGCGGGACGCCGACGTTCTGAAGAAGCCCCTCTTCCTTGTGCAGGCCGCCGACAGGTCTGCACCGACGATGAGCGTCAGGGACGCCGCCAAGATGATGAACTGTGCCAACCCGAAGAACACCGGTGGCATGCACGGGCTGCTCCCGGTGCACGTGGGCATGCGGATCCGGCTCCTGGAAGCGCTCGACCTCAAGAACGGCCTCGTCAAGGATGCCGAGGGGCAAGTCGCGCACATAGTCGTGGACCCTCGAGATCGGGACGACGTCGAGAGAGCCGAGAGAGAGGGGGAGAAGAGGATCTACTTGAAGCGCTTGCCGCTGGGGTTCTGGGTGCGCATGGAGAAGTACGCGAGCGCGCCCTTCGTGGACGACCTGAAGCGCCACGACGACAGCCTCACGGGGGACCTCGCGGGCCCGCTGGTGTTCATCGAGCCCCGCACGTCGGAGCCGTTCACCTTCCGCACCTCCAAGGTCACGCGGACGGGCTTCCCGTTCTCGCACGGCAGGGTCATCACCACGGTGGCGTGCCAGGGGCGCACCATGCGAGAAGGCGACGGGGCGGGGGAACGGAGCTCCGGGGACGGCCAGACCTCCAGGGCGCGAGCAGTCCGCGGCCAGACCGCGATCCTGTGGACTCTCGCCCTGGACCGTCGGCTGCCCGGCGCACTGCCCCTCGGCCGACGTCGCCCAGGCGTGATCCTGGACTGCGGCCGCCACGAGGTCGGGAACGGCAAGAAGGAGGACGACGACTGGTGGCTGGAGCTCTATGCGCTGCTCTCGCGCGCCACGCGCCACGAGGACCTCCTGCTCACGCGGGCGCCGCGCATCGAGTTCTTCCTGGCAGGGCCGCCGGAGGGCTTGCGGAAGCAGCTGGAGCAGCTTGCGGCGCGCACGAAGCGGTGCAGGAGGGAGGCGACGGCCCTCGCCAGGGAGCTCGGCTTCACCGAGTTTATCCGCGAGGCCTGACCTGTGGAGCGCCCTCCCCGAGCCGCGCCTTCTCTCGACTGCCCGACTAATTGTTTGGCCTCGCGCCGCGGACGACCCGCGCGCGTCGCTGGGACCCTCTCAGGGCGACCAGCGCGCGTCGCGGGAACTCCGTGCTGCGTTTTGCCTGGCGCCTCGTTCGCCCGTCGTCGCTCTGCCCAGCGGTCAGAGCCTTGCCTGCCATCAGCCAGCCAGTTAGCTAGCCGGCTCTCTTTGCTCCGCGCAGCGGACGACCCGCGCGCGTCGCTGGGACCCCGCCTGGGGCGACCAGCGCGCGTCGCGGGGACTCCGCGCTGCGCTGCGCCCGCAGCCTTGGATTTTTGGAGTGCGCGGGCAAACAGAAAGGAAAAGAAGGGGCGAAAGCGGGCGCTATCCTCGCAAGGGGCGTGCCGACATGGGTGTCGCGGCGCGCGGGCGCTGCCGTCGGGGTTCCCGCGGAGGCTGCCTGCGGCGGCCACGCCCAGTGTCACGAGTGTTCGGACAGGCATGCTCGAGCCATTCACATTCATATTCATTTACACTAGGCGTAGCCATGATCGCATTCACGCAGATATACTCACTCTCACGCAGACCCATTCACACTCAGACTCACTCGCGCTCTGACTCACCCGCGTTCATCCTCTGGCAATCAGACCTATTGTATTCCTCTGCGTTGTGTACCCCGCCACGTTCCGGCACACCCCCCATACGGTTCGTGGCCCCATAGGGAGCGCCACCGAAGAAGATACTCACAATTGCGGTACTCACAACTGCACATGGCTGGGTCCTTCGACAGGTTTCTTATATAAAAAACAAACCATCATGTGGTGTTGGGTCCTCGTTTTGAAGAGACGGTGCCCCGCGTCTCCTTCCTTCCTTCCTTCCTCCTCCCCCTCCTCCCTCCTCCCCCATCCTTGCCTCTGCCCTCCGCATGTCTCTGTTTCGGCACACCCAGCACAGCGTTTCGCGACCCCATAGGGAGCTCCACCGAAGGCGCCAGTGGCAGGGTTCGCACGGCGGCCCCGCCCCATTTCGGCACACTCCTCACAAGGACTGTGGCCCCACAGGGAGCTCCATCGAAGGCGCCAGTGGCAGGGTTCGCATGGCGGCCTCGGGCCATTTCGGCATACCCCTCACGAAGATCGTGGCCCCGTAAGGAGCTCCACCGAAGGCCGCAGTGGCAGGGTTCGCATGGCGGCCTCGGGCCATTTCGGCACACCCCTCACGAAGATCGTGGCCCCATAGGGAGCTCCACCGAAGGCCCCAGTGGCAGGGTTCGCATGGCGGCCTCGGGCCATTTCGGCACACCCCTCACGAGGATCGTGGCCCCATAGGGAGCTCCACCGAAGGCCCAGTGGCAGGGTTCGCATGGCGGCCTCGGGCCATTTCGGCACACCCCTCACGAGGATCGTGGCCCCATAGGGAGCTCCACCGAAGGCGCCAGTGGCAGGGTTCGCATGGCGGCCTCGGGCCATTTCGGCACACCCCTCACGAGGATCGTGGCCCCATAGGGAGCTCCACCGAAGGCGCCAGTGGCAGGGTTCGCATGGCGGCCTCGGGCCATTTCGGCACACCCCTCACGAGGATCGTGGCCCCATAGGGAGCTCCACCGAAGGCCCAGTGGCAGGGTTCGCATGGCGGCCTCGGGCCATTTCGGCACACCCCTCACAAGGATCGTGGCCCCATAGGGAGCTCCACCGAAGGCCCAGTGGCAGGGTTCGCATGGCGGCCTCGGGCCATTTCGGCACACCCCTCACGAGGATCGTGGCCCCATAGGGAGCTCCACCGAAGGCCCCAGTGGCAGGGTTCGCATGGCGGCCTCGGGCCAGTTCGGCACACCCCTCACGAGGATCGTGGCCCCATAAAGATCTCCACCGAATGCGCCAGTGGCAGGGTCCGCGTGGCGGCCCCGCCCTATTTCGGCACGCCCCTCACGAGGACCGTGGCCCGACAGGGAGCCCCACCGAATGCGCCAGTGGCAGGGTTCGCACGGCGGCCCCGCCCCATTTCGGCACACTCCTCACAAGGACTGTGGCCCCACAGGGAGCTCCATCGAAGGCGCCAGTGGCAGGGTTCGCATGGCGGCCTCGGGCCATTTCGGCAC